GGGCGGTTTTCCTGCGGAAGCCTGGAAAGCAGCAGTGCGCAAGTATACCGTCTAGCGCGCGCTCGTGCTATTGCTCATGAGCCTGTGGACACTCGGCTTCATTCATTCATTTTTGTCCGACGCACTCGGCAGCGCCACAAAACTTTTGGGAAGCATCCGCATGCAGGCGTAGTGTCGCACAGCATTTGGATGACCTCCCTTCCTCCCAAGTTCATGCGGGCGTAGGGGCGCAACGCATTCCCCTGAGAGGCGCAAACAGGCACGCAAATTGCGCTGCTGCTGGTGACCCGGCCGCCGGTGACCTTTTTATGTCACTCGAGGCCGTCGGAGGTCACCGGCCAGAGTTCCCTGGCCAACAACATCGGTGCCCTTTTGGAGGCCGCTCGGGGCGGAAAAAGGCCACCGGCCAAAAAGACCTCGCCAACGGGGGCCAGGGAAAAAACGCAACACTGTATATCGCACGGGGCTACGGGTCTGGGCCCGTGGCTTAGGACACCCCTGCTCTTTACTCGCAGCCCCCCCAATTCGGGACACTCCTGCTCCCTACTTGCAGCCCGTGGCTCGGGCAGCAACCTGCTCTGCTACGCAATGCGATACAACGCGCTGGAAGCAAAAGAGCGATGCAACGCAGTGGAAGCAAAAAAAGCAGGAACGAACCTGCTCATACTCCCAGACTGCTGATGCTACAGAGCGGATGCTGCTCATCGACGCTAATGCTACGCTCCCTGACCCATGCAAATACGCATCCCCCCCTGGGTGTCCCCGGGGGGGAAGGGTCCCGACGGGGGTGGGGGAGGGGGGGGGGCGTCTTCCACTTCCTCCTCCTCCTCCTCCTCCTCCTCTTCCTACCTCGTCGCGGTCAGCGCCGTCGTCTTGAGGATCGGCGGCACTGGCCGTAAGGCCTTCGCAATCGAGAATCTCTGAGATCCAGCGGCTCTGGAGGATGTCTCGGGCGCCGCGGCCTTCTCAGAGCGTTCCGGAACGCTCTGAAAACGTTCCGGAACGCTCTGGGACGGATGTATCCTCGTCCTGGCCCCGTCCGAAATGCTCAGTACCATGTGTGGGTCGAAGGTCGACGACGCCTTCGGAGACGCCACCGCGGCACGGTGAACACGAGTCCTATGCAGACCTTCGCCCCCTGGCTGCCCCCGGGCTGCCCCGAAAATGGCCCACGGAGACGCCACCTGCACGGCCTACAGAAGTCCCACAGGCGGCCTCGGACACGGCCCCAAGAAGCCCAGAAGGCCTCGAGAGTCCAAGACGGCCCGAATGACCCCAGACGGGGGCCTTCACCAGAGGCCCGATCGACCTCGTCCGCACGGTGGCTCGGGTCCTTTCTGGCACACCCCTCCCGCGTGTCGTGGCCTCACAGCGATCTCCACCGAAAGCGGGAATGGCCACATCTAACAAACAAACAAACAAATAATTACTCACTGCGTGGAGCTCCCCATATGTGCATATCATGTTTTGTGTCATGCCATAGTGAGCGCCTGTTCATGAGCGCTTGACTATAATAGCGCGTTCGCCAACCCAAGGGACCAGCACGCCTCGACTCCTTCCTCCGTGCGTCCCAAAGGGTACGTGCCGGAGCACGACGCAAGGGACCAGCACGCCTCGACTCCTTCCTTCGTGCGTCCGAGAGGGTACGTGCCGGAGCACGACCCAAGGGAGCAGCACGGCTCATCTTCTTCCTCGCAGCATGAAAACAAGCAAACCGCCTGAGACATCTCCGCAAAATGGCCGCGAACGGGCCCGTGCCGTACCCCCTGGCGGCTACCCTTAGGGATGCTGGAAGCAGCGCCCCGCCTGAGACATCCTCACAATCTGCTCTGAAAGCCATAGGATGTCCGCGTGAAAACGAGCAAACCGCCTGAGACGTCCCCACAAACTGGCCGCGAACGGGCCCGTGTCCTACCCCTTGGCGGCTCCTATTAGGGGTGCTGAAACCAGCGCCCCGCCTGAGACATCCTCACAATCTGCTCTGAAAACAAGGGGTGATGGGCATGAAAACGAGCAAACTGCCTGAGACGTCCCCACAAACTGGCCGCGAACGGGCCCGTGAAAACAGCCCTGGCGGCTCCCCTCAGGGGTGCTGAAACCAGCGCTCCGCTTGAGACATCCTCAAAATCTGCTCTGAAAACCAAGGATGATGGGCAGGAAAACAAACAAACCGCCTGAGACTTCCCCGCGAACTGGCCTCGAACGGGCCCGTGAAAACAACCCCGGCGGCTCCCCTTAGGGGTACTGAAACCAGCGTTCCGCCTGAGACATCCTCACAATCTGATCTGAAGCCAAGGATGTTGAGCATGAAAACGAGCAAACCGCCTGAGACTTCCCCCCGAACTGGCCTCGAACGGGCCCGTGAAAACACCCCTGGCGGCCTCCCCTTAGGGGTGCTGCAACCAGCGCCCCGCCTGAGACATCCTCAAAATCTGATTTGCAAGCCATAGATGTTGGGCATGAAAACAAACAAACCGCCTCAGACATCCCTGCAAACTGGCCGCGAACGGGCCATTGAAAACACCCCTGGCGGCTCCCCTTAGGGGTGCTGAAACGAGCGACCCGCCTGAGACATCCTCACAATCTGCTCTGAAAGCAAAGGATGTTGGGCATGAAAACGAGCAAACCGCCTGAGACATCCTCACAAACCGGCCGCGAACGGGACCGTGAAAACACCCCTGGCGGCTCCCCTTGCAAGTCTGAGTATGTCTAGGTCTGTATGAGTAGGTCTCAGTCCGTGCGTTGAGCAACTCAGACTATGAGAAGGTCTGAGTATGTGTAGGTCTGAGTATGAGTAAGTCTGTGTATGAGCAGGTCTGGGAACGAGTCTGGGCATGAGTAAGTCTGGGTATGAAGGAGTCCCAGCATGAGTAGGCCTGCATGTTGTGTGTTGAGTAAGTCAGACCATGGGAAGGTATGAGTATGAGTAGGTCTGAGCATGAGTAAGTCTGTGTATGAGTAGGTGTGCTCTCTCTTCAGTCGGCGGCGTCCGAGTAATAACAAGAACCCCATCTTAGGATACGGGGAATAACCCCATCAGACAGGCAGGTGCAAATTGTTGGTTGCGATGTGATGTTCATCGAGACGGGAGTTGGCGGGGGAAGCTGCCGGGGCACTGGGCGCAAGGCCGCGGATGCAGGCAGAAATCAGGCGCGTGAGCGCGGGAGCTGGTGGAGGGAGTTTCCGGGTAATTGATTGCAGTACCATGGAATCGCCTGAGTTTCGCCTCGAATTCGGCGGACGGCGGCGGCGGGGCCGCAGAAGCAGGCGGAGGTCGAGGGATGACGACACCCAATGAATGCGTCGCTCCTGCCCACTGCCTCAGGAGGGCCAGTTGAAACACAGGTAGTTGGCGTTCGGAAGGGCCCTTTGTCGCCACGGCTAGACGCAACTCGGAAAACTGGTGCATCTGGACTCCAGCAGGGGAATGGGGACCGATCTTGAGCTGCCGCTGTCTCAACTCGCCCTGCTCCGAGTTTCGCCTCGGCCTCGGCTTCCTTATCCTCGTCGTGGTCGTTGTGGTCTCAGGCGGGAGGGCAGCGGAAACAGGCGGAAGTGGAAGGAGGCGAGTCGCGAGCGTGGGGGCTGGCTCGTCTGCATGGTGTTGCTGAACCTCGGAGCCGTCCACGCCAGATCGACACATCCCGTTCACGCAAAGTGAAATTGGAGGAGAACGTTGATATGACCATGCAGGCAACGCAAGACTGCATTGTACGTAAATGCTGATGGCACGGCGACCAGCCATAGCAAAAACATAATGCAAAAAGAACCCTGTTCAAACAAATGCGCGGCTCAAGACGGAAAACTCCATCGACAAACCTAGACGCTGGCATCACCGCTCTACCGCGCGGACTGCCTACATCATCGAACGGCTCTCACTGGCATGCCCGGTCAGGGAGGGCCGGGGACAACCACGTGGCTGAGCGTGACGCTTTGGCTAAAGCGCACTCGCTTTAGCGACTCGCTTGGTGAGACGTGCGGCTACTTGACAGTAAGACGCGCGGCTCAAATCTAAGAGCCGTTGCGCGAGGCAAAAGTAAGGGTGTGGGCGGCAGCAGGACCCTGAGGCGTGTGTGAACCAACAAAATGAAAAGGATCCGAATTGGCACTACCGTTGCCGACCGGCTGACGCTCCTCTTTCCAGGATGGATGAAGGATGAGGAAAGAAGAGCACGGATGAGAATGGGGGCAAGAGACCAGATCGAAGTCGATGCTGCAAAAAATCACTTCAACTCATGTACATGTTCCAGCCTGGAGAGGTCCCTGGAAAACCCAAGATGGCCTCCACGATCGAACAAGATAGCATGAGGTGGCTCAATATAGCTTCCAACATGTCTCCAGGAGGCGGCATGACCGTCCCAAGACCGCTCGAAGTGGCCACGCAGCCCCCCAAGGACCCGCCGATAAGCCAAACTACTTCCCGTACCTAAGGGGGATCACTCTTTTTTGGTCTACTCGCTCTTTCGCTCCCGATGGACTGACTCTTCAGGCCTCAATATGGCTCCAAGATCGCCCAAAAGAGCCCCAAGAGGGGCCCAAGACCGTCCCAAGAACACAGTCCGCGGGGGGGAGGGGGGGAAAGCCATGGACCATCTTCAAGCGGCCTCAGAGATCAAGTACAGGAATGGGAATATCTCAGGTGTCATCCTGATCCTGCCCGTCGTTTCGACCACCTCCCTCCGCCTCACCACTCCTTCTCCTCTCCTCCTTGTTGCCACTGTCGCTCTCCTCCACCTCCTCGACCTCCTCCTGTACCTGCCCCAATCCTAAAAACCAATAGGATGTTCCTGACGGCCTCATGCTCAGAGTGGTCCTGGGAATCGTGAGGCTCGCCAGAACTTCGGCGTCGAAATCACGACTGGTCGCTCGACCCGTTGCATGAGGGCGGCGGCAAGAAGTAATACAACAGCGTGAGGATCGTGGTAACAAGCATAAACGAATGTGAAGATAAGATACAGGTGCCCGGTAAAGGAACATTGACATGAAGCGGGCCGCCTCAGTCATTTGCGCTTCACCACGCTCATCGACTGGGGCGGGATGGTAGCAAGTGTATGAGCTGCGCTGAAGCCGCCCACATTGCCATTACCAGCGCGGGCGATCAATGCAACATGCGCTGGACAACATGTGCGGTCCGACGCATAAACCATACCCATTTGTTCACATCGAAGCAATATCCACTGGAACACCAGCGAGTGAAAATACAACAATGCAAACGTCTCGGGCACCGCTGCTCATGCGCCACCCCATATTTGACAAAATCAAGTTCACTTAGGCTCTAGCCTCTTTCTCTTGCGTTCCCGTGCAAACTTCTCATATGCGCAGCAGCATTACTGGCCCACCACGTTGATACCGACTGTCGCGATGCAACCATGCGTTCGGACACCCAATCACTATTTATCTCTCGTTTGCTAATGCTGATGTTTTTTTCCCAGGTCGTTGTGGGGACGTGTTGTGACCCTCTTGAACCGTCGAGCGGCCCTCTCAGGCCTTCGAGGGTACCTCCGGAGGCCCGCCAAGGTCATCTTGTGCCCCTCGTGCGCCGTCCTGGGGCAATGTTGGAGACCTCCTAGGTCCTAGGCTATTTTGAGCCGACGGATGCCCGAAATTGCGAGGATGCCACAACCATTCCAACACGCAAGGGCAATCATAGGAGTTAGCCTCTCAGGGCTCTCTTGCGAAACTGCGGCTGGGCATGGTGATTGCAAAACTTTCGGACCATCCACTGATTGGCGTTTTGCCCTGGTGTAATTCTGAAAGAGCACTACCTGCCAACAATCACGAACAAGCAGCCAACACCACCATTATGACCCCCAGAAACTGCATACACCTGGGAAGCTACTGCACTTCTGGGTAAGGCCCTGCCTGGGTCAACCATCTTTGTCGTGCTCACCGCAAGAGCAACAAGCAACATTGCGTGGTCACATGAAAATGCAATGAATGCAACCGAGGAGAAGATCAGCTCGGCGAACCTTGGGTACTTTGTGCCGGCCGTTGCGCAGACTTGAAGACGATCCCTGCCAAGAGTACCAATGGCAGTGAGGCCCACGAACGCAGTGCAGGGCAAGCTAGATAGGGAGAGGCGGATGGACCAGACACTCAAATCAGTAAGCGACGAAAGCGACTGTGCTGGGACACAGAAAAATGATCTTTGCCTTACAAAGAACCCACATGCACCAAAGGTGGCGCCCAATCATTCCGTCCAGCGTGGAAACAAACATACGAACGGACTCATGGGGGAGAAACACACATAAATGTGCCAAGCGCGGCACTACAATGAGAGGACGCCTGCACATGCGCCTGGATCTACCATCTCTGCCGCGCGCATTCTCCTGTAAAGGCAGAGGAGGAGGAGGAGGAGGAGGAGGATGAGGAGGAGGAGGAGGAGGAGGAGGAGGAGGAGGAGAGAGGGGGGGGGCACAAGCTTGCTTTATACACGAATGCCGAATCGACTTGCAAGAAGCATGTGGTAACCGCGTCAAGACTGCAAACACTGATTACCACCGACCCACGCTTGCCTGCTGAATCAAACATGGATGCCTCTTGATGGCTATCGTCGATAGTGGGTTTCTCCATGAACTGATGGCCTAAACATGAATCCCCAGAACGGGGTGCAGTGCATGGGGGGCCTGCAGAGGGGAGAGCGGAGAGGGGAGTGAACCCAACAATTCCTCGGGCGTTGCTTAACGGGGGGGGGGACAAAAAACAAGGGGGGTGAAGAAAGGCGCACTCTTCGTGCACCTTCGGGTCCGTCCTTTCGGACCTTTTTCCCCAAACCCTCGATCCCTCTCCATGTATGGCCCCCCTCAGAACGACACGCCCGAACTGGTCCCAGCCGTTACTCACCGGGCGCGCCTGACCTGCCAGGACCCTACAGCACGACCGCCTGAGGGCGCAGAAAGGGAAACACCTGATTGCCAGACCAGGGAACGTCGAGGGGCATCTGCCGAACGTGGTTCAATGGAATCCTCGTGCAAGCAAATGTATGGTGACGCTTGCATGGAGAGGACTATCCAGAAACTCGTTTTCTGCCGCTGGGGAGAAAGTTTGGAGAGGATGACCGAACAATCCCAGTGGAGACGACGACGCCCGCGAGCAGGCTCGGAGCCCAACTTGCCATAAGTCGTCGCCGAGGGCGCCGCTGCGTGACGGGCCCCGCGGGCATTCCCTGACCGCCGCCTCGCGTCACGTCTTCGTTCCCGTGCAGGGCGCAAGCCTATCGGCGGCGAGCGAGGGGGGGAAATGAGAAGGAGAGAGTCTTCTCAGAAGGCGGCGGGACTTCTCAGAAACCCTCCCGCCTTCTGAGAGGTGTTGTTATGTTTTTTGGGGGGCAAGCTGAGAACACTTCTCGGAAGGACGGGGGCCTTCCAAACCCTTCGAGAAAGCCTCCTCCTCATCACTTCCTCCTTCGCCCGCCGCCGGGCCTGAGCTCCGCGAGGGCCCGGCCCTCGAAGGTCGGGGGCTGCTAAAGGTGCCCCTGGCCCAAGGTGCCCCCAGCTTTCC